AAGCGGTTATCATGAATTTGGAAAAGGAAGTTGGTGGTGCTCTTGAACCTCTGGGAGACCAACAACCGTAAGCCAAGCCACAAACTCTTGAAACTTCGGAGCATGACAAAATTTATTTATAAATATAAATAGACTCAATCCATTATGCTATTGCATCCAATAAAAAACTTTACTCACCACTTTGCCAATCTTCTCTAGTTTTTGGCAATTAATATTGTACTATGCAATTATTGCAAGTTGCAACACAAAAGTACCAACTTTCAAACATATGAAAAAGCAGACATGGGCTTAGGCAAGTTGACCTAGAGCGAATGTGCTTCCCACTATGCACCCGAGTTCGAATACCTCTTTCTGTAGTTTAGATTAGATTAAAGTATAATATTGGTTGTATAAAAAATTTAAAAAAATAGAAAAGAAAAAAGCTTTCACAAATGGTCTGAAGGCCGTCCATACATATGTTAACCTTATTATTGTGCCAGTAAGGTCAACAAGTTCCATTCAGCTACTTAAAAATGAGATTCTTAACCAGTAAACATGCGCAAAAGTAAATGAAGATAATTCCTGATAGAAAGTTACAATTGACAGCAAGTAAAACTGCTAGTTACTTGTTCAACTAATAAGGTATCTGAGTTTTGTGGAGGATGTGTCTTTACATATCCTAATCATGGATCATACATCTCACCATGCTACAAATTCTGGATTATCACCTCAACTCTCATGAGATGGCACACTTTAAACATGAACCTAGCTTTTCAAAGATGCACAAGAGAAACCCTAGTTGTAGAAAAGCATGGCAGGATTGGAAATTGTGAATGCCACGAAACCATGAGGTTGGGAATGGGACACAAGTACGTTCAGTATTAAGCAGAGCTGAAAAGTAAGCCTTCAAAATTGAGGAATACATTGAACCTCTTTGTGCTGATCTTGTTGAACCAATTCCACAATCATTTTAGCAACAGAGCTTGGTTTTTCCACATGAGGAAGGTGTCCACAATCTGGTATTTGTCGTATAACTGCATTTGGCAGTTCACAGTGCAATCTCTGCAGTATATAAATATCGAGAACCACAGGATTATCAAACTGTACAGAATGGTCATATGTGGAAACATGAAATGCTCAATAGGTCAAAACACTACCCAAATAAGAGAGAAAAGTTTGTGCACTGTCAAAATTTCTCTTCAAATACCTTTGAAAAGATTGTTTCCAGATATATTTAATAAGACATGGCAGTCATATTTGTATCATGATCTCTATTTATGCCTATAGAAAGAAGAGAAGTACTACCACTCCAAGCTTGCTGCTAATAATCTGGTCATCCTCACCCCATATGATAAGAGTCTTCTGTTTTACCTGCCAAACAAAATGTGGATGATATTATGAAACAAATATCAGAAGTTGGGCATTCTAAAATGAAGAAAACTTCAAATGTAAGGGCATTTCATCCATATGTTGTAAGAGTATAGAAAAGCTTAATCCAATCAAATTAACAAAAGATTAATTGATTTTATTCCTCTTGCCAAGAGATAAAGGACTTATGTCAGTATAAAACTACAATCTCTCTCTCTCTCTCTCTCTCTCTCTTTTGTTTTTCCTTTTTTTTAATCATGTGAACTAAGAAACTTGCAATGTAGTAAAACACCACCTATTCACCTTTTGGCAGAAGGGATCCTTTTTCCCATAGGCAGGATTATTTTTCAAAGAACTTCTCAACTCAAATATTTATTTATTTATTTATTTGAAAGTCAGACATACCTGTTCTATCTGGGCACTAACATTATAACCCCCACTCATCATGAAATCCACAGTTGCATCCTCCCACCAAGGAAACAGACAATGCAAGCGGCCCACCTAGATAAGATTACAAGAAACAACATAATTAAATCTCTCCAGCCTCAGAAGATCCTAAGGGGATAAGAAATTGTAAAATTTATCTATATAAATATTGCAATATCTTCTTTCAAATAAAAACCCTTACATTAGCCCAATCTAAACTGTTACTGAGTGATATGCCACTGAAGGACAAAAAGTTTACATAGAAGCGCAGTGGGAGACTCTTCAATAAATATACCTGGCCAAAAAAATTCCCTGTAGTCATTGTAATGAGGACATCAAAATAAAATGATAAATATGGCTTTGGCAATGATCTCCGAGTCACAGAAATTATAGCCTCTAGGAGGACATGATCTTAACAGAGAAATGGTGAAAATAACGTGTAGACAACAATGGATTTGAGAAAATAGTGAGTTAAGTAAACTCTTACACCAGCATAGGCTAACATTTTAGGCATGCTTGCTAGATCTCCGGTGCCTTCTGTATACACACTTGCATCAATCAAAACCAGCCTTTCGACCTGAAAGGTAAGCTGAAAACTTCTAAATTTCATGGAACATTGAAGATACTAATTATAACAACCTTGTTCTATGCATTACTTGGAATTTCTTTCAAAATGAATTTTAATTCTAAGATCAAACATTGGAGATCACTTACAGCTTCTGGATGGCTGACTGCAAAGTCAATTGCAACAGCAGCACCAAGGCTTGGTCCAACCAATATCATTGGCTTTTTGATGTAGGATTTCCAAAGCTGCCGTGAATTTGAAACAAATCATTGCTAGTCTGATCAGCAGATAAATACAGAGTCTACTCAATAATATTAGGAATAACTTCTTCCCACAAATGACTGGCACCAACTTCTCTTCATATTAAATAAACAAAACCAATGAAAGAGGCATTCAAGAAATAAAATAACCCACCTGGAAAAAATGGTCACGCTTAGAGGCCACATTGCAGGAGGGAAGTCTTTCTGACACATACAAAACAAAATGTGCAAAAGAAAGAAAGAGTTACTTTTTCTTTTTCTACAAAAGGATATGACATAAAAAGAGAAAGCAATTATAAAAAACAAAATTTTTGGTCTCAAACAATGAAAGGAGCAAACCCAAATCAGAGAAACCCCAGCCAAGAATGTCAACAGCCCAAGTCTCCAAGCCAGCTTCCTCAGTGCATATGTTTACTATTTTATTCCATAGTAATGTACCGATTTATTGAAAGCAAAGAATTGATTTCGAAGTATGTGATTTCTTTATAATGGCTTTGAATCCATTTTCACCTATCTCAATTATGTGATTTCTTTATAATGGCTTTGAATCCATTTTCACCTATCTCAATTGTCTTTCAGGAATTTGATGCATGTCTTATATTAAATACAGCATGGCACTCTATGATGCGGAAACTAAGATTATTCCTGGCATGTCAGCAATTACCTCAAACAATTGTGATTGTTAAGTGTAGCATGTGGCTTAAAACATGTGTCTATAACGACCTACTCAGGTTACTGGTCAAATACAAAATAGATTATCATTTGGAACGAGTCACGAGGCATACTTCCATAATGATAGCCGTAGTAGATTGGATACAATTTTTGCTAATTGTTATGATATGCTAGCCAGGGAACTTCGAGTATTATGTTAAATTCTTAAAACTTGGGATGTGTGTTGATATTTACAGACGATGCTTCCATCAACATCATTATCCATTCTTCACCAAGTCCCAGAAGGTAGTGCATATTTTACTATTTTATTCCATAGTAATGTACCGATTTATTGAAAGCAAAGAATTGATTTCGACGTATGTGATTTCTTTATAATGGCTTTGAATCCATTTTCACCTATCTCAATTGTCTTTCAGGAATTTGATGCATGACTTATATTAAATACAGCATGGCACTCTATGATGCGGAAACTAAGATTATTCCTGGCATGTCAAGCAATTACCTCAAACAATTGTGATTGTTAAGTGTAGCATGTGGCTTAATACATGTGTCTATAACGACCTACTCAGGTTACTGGTCAAATACAAAATATATTATCATTTGGAACGAGTCACGAGGCATATTTCCATAATGATAGCCGTAGTAGATTGGATACAATTTTTGCTAATTGTTATGATATGCTAGCCAGGGAACTTCGAGTATTATGTTAAATTCTTAAAACTTGGGATGTGTGTTGATATTTACAGACGATGCTTCCATCAACATCATTATCCATTCTTCACCAAGTCCCAGAAGGTCATGTTGGGGTATATTGGAGAGGAGGTGCACTTCTGAAGACTATTACTGATCCAGGTAATTTGCCCTGAGCAGTTGATTGCATAGGGACTTAAATTTTTTCTGCTTCTAATTATTTCAAATCTCAGGTTTTCATCTCAAGCTGCCCTTGGTAACCCAGTTTGAACCTGTTCAAGTCACCCTTCAGACTGATCAGGTAACTTTGTTGACGCTCGGAAAATTTAGGATTTTGTCTTTCCATTCTTATACTTGAACCCTTCTGTCAAAAAAATTGCAGGTGAGGGATATTCCATGTGGTACAAAAGGAGGTGTCATGATCAATTTTGAGAAGATAGAGGTAGGGCTATATTACTGAGAAGTCAGATTTCCAATATTCTCAATGTGTGTGCACTGAGTGGGGTTCCTTTTTCAGGTTGTAAACCGGCTTCGTAAAGAATTTGTGTATGAGACACTTCTCAATTATGGTGTGCAATATGACAACACTTGGATATATGACAAAATTCATCACGAGATCAATCAGTTCTGCAGCTCACATTCTCTTCAAGAAGTATACATTGATGTGTTCGATCAGGTAAGCAAATGACTGTCACCTTTTTCCATATGTAGTTCCTCTACACCATATGCAGTCTGCCCGATACAGAGCATAACTTTTTTCCTTTTCTCTTTTGTGATGTGAACCTGAGGGTCGTGGCATACACTGGGAAAAAATTATTTGTTGGCTCTGGCATTTGATTTGATGTTTTCCTCCTGGGGTCAGTCATGCGTTCTATTGTTATGTCTCCACAAAGGAGCTGTTGATTAGGTGCTTTGCTGTTGCTGTTATAGATATTTGTTGAGCTTCTGATGCTGTTAAGGATCTTGTGGCACTTCCCTTTCTCTTACCATTTTGGAACGTCCTGTATTAATGAGATAGTTTGTTTTATAATATTCATGGCTTGAATTTTTTATATCTTTTAGTTATGTCCAAAACCTCATATTTTTACCTTGTCTATCAACCAAACAATATATTCAACCTTTTCAGATTGATGAAAAGATGAAAGAAGCTCTTCAGGGTGACTGTACTCGTTATGCTCCAGGTATTGAAATTATCAACGTACGTGTTACAAAGCCTGCCATCCCAGAGAGTATAAGACGCAACTTTGAACAAATGGAAGAGGAACGGACTAAGGTAAAGATAAGAAGAGTTCATTTCATTCTATTTCTTCATCCATAGTTTTGTTGCAAACGTTGAATGATTACTGAAACAGAAATTTGTGTATCCTTACACTGCATCTAACTTGTGCAAAAATTTATCTATTCTGATTCTACTTCCTGCTCTTTTAGGTTTTTTTGTTGAATTTTACAATTTTTTTTACACATTTTCCCTAAACATTACAGTTCTCCAGTGCAATTGACACATAAGTCTCTTATGCATTCAATTTTACTCTTCCAAGTACTTGATGCCCAAACATCTGAGATGCATGCCTTATAAAGAAAGACAAAAAACCTGTAGTGAGATTTTAGGCTAACCTTTTCTTACAGTTACAGGATGCTTTATCATATCAGAGGTGTTGGGTGTTACTGTGTAGGTCTTAATTGCTATAGAGAGACAGAGAGTGGTGGAGAAAGAGGCAGAAACCAAGAAGAAGATGGCTATCAGTGAGGCTGAGAAGAATGCCAATGTGAGCAAGATTCTCATGGAACAAAAGTTGACGGAGAAGGACAGTTCCAGGAGGCAGGCGGAAATCGAAAATCAGATGTATACAGCGAGGGAAAAGAGCCTTGCAGATGCCGATTTCTATAAAGTAATGAGAGAAGCTGAAGCAAACAAGTTGAAGCTTACTCCACAATTTCTTGAGCTTAAATTCATCGAGGCCATAGCTGACAATACCAAAATTTTCTTTGGAGACAAGGTACCCTGCTTCGAATGTTTTATGTTTTATTTGTGTTTGTGTGTCCTGGTGCAATATTTACTCAGTAGTTTTGCTCTGCACTCTGCAGGTACCTAATATGGTTTTGGATCAGAGGTTGCTGGGGAACTTCTTGCAGGTTTCCAAAGAAGTTTCCAAGGAAGTTAACTCGAAATCTAGCTCTGGGGAGGATAATCCTGAACTTCAATTTGTCTGATGCATTGCTATATCTTACATGTTTGGATTGGTACATACATACTCTGAACACAATAGGGAGAAAGAAAAACCATTGAATTTTGCAGCTAAATTTGTTGATTTTTCTCTTTAGTTATGTGTCCTCAATTGCCCTTTTCTATTTGCTCATTAAGAGCTTAAAATTTCAGGTTAATATGTTACCAGAGATGCCCTGAATTGTGCTGGCGACAATCGCTCAATGCATGCAGGTGGCTGTTAGCGTTTGACGTATTATGAGACCTACTTGATCAACGGTTAACAGCCACTTGCCGTGTGAGCCGTTACTCTATATATGGCATTAGTACGTTACCTTGCCTTATTTTCATCCAAACATATGTTGGTGATTACGAGTAATCAAAGCACATTGGAATTGTTTTCTGATGATAACAAGGGGATCGTTTATTTCCGTTTTTGGTCGTGACTCTCGAGTCGTCGTGACAAGGGGATTGTTATGTTATCTCTTGGCCTCGTGTTAAGAATTGAAGGGGTTGCTGTCATGGGGCCCCTTGTTCTAGAAACTTCTCTTTTTGACACGTGCGTACTCTTCAGAATAAAAACATCACGTGTCACTGTTACTCTTCTCGTTGGAAAGTTCCAATTTGGATACGTTCGTGTGACGAAGAGTATACATATCACAGAGGTCTGCTGTAGCATGGTACAAAGTGACTGCTAAAATGCTCGCATCTCAATGCTGTGTATTGTCAACATCGATGCTTCATCCCCATCAAATTTTTGGGTGCCAATATTGATATCAAAGCATGAATTGAAAGAAAAAAAAAACGAAAAGAAGCAGCTACAGAACCACCTAATTTTATCGCTAACTAAAACAGAGGCTCTTTTTTATTTTTTCGGCCAAAAACCAAAAAGTTTCATAGTAAGGAAACTTTGTATGAACAAGGCAACCCGTATTATATTTTAATTATTGTTGGCATTTTATTCTAGAGTTATTTACATTAACATTCCTTGAATTTTTTGGTGTTTTCACAAAATCTCCGAGGTTTTAAAAATTACACGAACACCCGTTGAGGTTTCAGATTGTTTTCACAGAACCCCTTTTCATTGATTGTTCGTCCAAAAATGGATGATTTTATTAAAAAAAAGCCTTATGCAAATGACAAAATTAACTTCAACAAATGCATGTGCAATCTAATCTCATAGGATAACTTTGTCATTTGGAGAAATCTTTTTATATAAAACCATCAATCTTTGGACGAAAATAAACGGAATGTGTTTTATGAAAACAATTTAAAACTTAGGTGGTGTTCATGTAATTTATAAAACCTCAAAGGGTTTTGTGAAAACACTGAAAAAGTCAAGGATGTTATGGTAAATAACTATGTCTTTTATTTTATATTACAAAAGGGATTATGCATCTTCCCTTAATTTCGGAGGCAAAAATTGCTTCACTTTAGAAGTTTTAAAAGGGGAGCTTTAGTTTTAAAACACAATATATTTTACTAATTTGGAAGATAGGAATACAATTTCATCCAATTAGCATAAGGCCAAAGACCAAAATGTAGTACCTAATTTTACAAAAATATCATTAAAAAATATCAAAATTACACACAATACCACTTCTTCTAAGGCAAGCATACTATGCCACATGATGTCACTGATACCACTATTTTCTTTCATTTAAAAAAAATATATAAAAAAAATTCTTCCGTTGATTAAAGTCTGGAATTGGCAATTATTTACTATGGTCGAGATAAAATATTCTACTTTCTTTAAGAGATGGCATCATCAAGTAAGGCGATAGGTTGACTATTTGGGCAATCATGACACTAGCCGTGGAAATTTCCACACAAGCAAAAGTCCATCTCAGGAAGCACAGATTCATTCAAGATTCCAGTTCAGCAGAGTCGTAAACTATTGATATTCTGAAAACCAAGCACTGTCTAAAAGACGTACTTTTCAACGCGTTCAACAAACCGCTATATCTACAACTACAAGTTCTTCGCCTTCTCTGGTTCATGGTCTTGCATCCTCCAAAAGCTACTATTTTTATTGAGCAAACCGGTTTCATATCAAATGGGGTTCATTGAAAGATTCCCAAGGCTTCTGGGGGGAATATGAGGTTCATTTCTTTCCTTGTTTTGGTCTTAAGAAGAATATGAGATTGTTTCTGTGATTATGACATGAAATGAGTGCTTTTGGGTCCACCCAAATAGTTGGGTTCTTCATTTTTTTGATTGGTAGGTGATCTTTCTCACTCTACTAACTCCACATGCCTTCAAAGTTAGTTTGTTAGTTTGTTAGGTTTTTTCGTTTTGTTTTGGGTTTTCCTTGTTTTGCTTAGACTTGCATATGCTGAGTGGTAGATGAGAAAAACCAATTCTGGTGTTCCTCAGAATTGGTTTTGCTCTGCTATGGTATGTAGCTTGTATTTGGAGTCTCTCACTTTCTTGCATCACTACTAATCTTATGCCTATGATTTTGAATCCATGGGAATTTTTGGCATCCTTTGACTTGCATATTGGTCACTTTTTCTGTTTTGCTCCTGAGACATCTAGTCTTTTGTGTAATCAATACTTGCTTCTTTTTTTTTTTCTTTTTTGGAAATTCCAGTACAAATGTTTCATGTAATATATTCCCTGTCTGAAATTATAGCATGTTTATTCATGGGCTAGGAACCCAGTGATATGTATAGAATCGCCTATGTGCTGTGCAGGATCTCTCTGCTGTTCCTCTGCTGATTTTTTTACCATCTGAGTGGAATTTTTCAAGTGGGTTAAATATGTATGTGGTGGAAAGCAAAGGAGGTGCTATAGCATGCATGCTGCTTGCCTTGATCTTCTTGGGCACATGGCCTGCTATCCTCACTCTCCTGGAACGACGAGGCCGGCTTCCTCAGCATACTTATCTGGATTATTCAATCACAAATTTCTTGGCTGCTATACTTATTGCTTTAACATTTGGTCAGATAGGCAATAGCACACCTGAGATGCCAAATTTTTTAACTCAACTTTCACAGGTGATTTTTCATGGTTGTTATATGAATCATTCGTTCTCCGTAAGCTTGTATTTTATATAAATCCAACTACCCACAACTAATGAGTTGTTTTGAGCTGGTGTTTGTGATCTTCATCTGAATGAGGACAACTGAGTCTTTTCTTGTGCATTTTCGAATACCTTCAAAATTCTGAAAGGGGTGCTGATATAATGTCATTGGCAGAGATGGCTCTTGTAACTTGGTGACATTGCCTTATTTTGTTGGCTATTTACAATCAAGTCAGTGGCTCCTGCTACTTTAGATCCCATTTAGAGTCCATTTTGGTCAACTGATTATAGCAGGCGCCTTGGATATTCCATGATGACTGATGCTGGTTCCAGTTACAACTGGTTTTCCTGAAACTTCTTGGATGACATGTGCAGGATAATTGGCCTTGTGTTTTGTTTGCAATGACGGGCGGGGTGGTCCTCAGCCTCGGAAATCTTTCCACACAGTATGCTTGGGCTTTTGTTGGTTTGTCAGTGACAGAAGTGATCACTTCAAGCATCACCGTTGTCATAGGTCTATCTCCAACACTTGGATGTATGTATCTTTATGATTGGCAATGTTCTGAACCTACTTGTGACTCTCTTCCTTTCAAATGTAACAGGCACAACCTTTAACTATTTCTTAGATGATAAAATTAATAGAGCCGATATTCTTTTTCCTGGGGTCGGTTGCTTCTTGATTGCTGTTTGTCTTGGCGCTGCTGTTCACTCATCCAATGCAGCTGATAACAAAGTAAAACTTGACAGCTTGTCTAGTGATCACATAGATGCAGCGAAGTACGTTTCTTCTTCCTATAGTAGTCTGAAATAAGTGTTCTTTTCACTGGTTTTCCTAGTTGGCCACTCTTTATTGGAAAAGAGCATTATGTGATCTCCTAATTGACAATCATGCCGTAGTTTTCCATGATTGGCTATCAAAGATTTAAATGCTGTACTATAGTGGTTGATTTTAATCTTGTGGCTTATTAATTTCTTTTGTATCAACGATGACATCACACCAATTTTAATGTTATGACAGGGTTTCCAATACTTCCATGATCCCAAATGAGGGTAAGAAATTCTCTGAAGTTATAACGTTCTATTCTATACTTGTGTTCTTACTGTTTCTGAGTTATGTAATTCTCTTTCGATATTTGGATATCCACAGCTGCGTCGAAGGATCTGGAGAATGGAAATGACCCTGCTCAGAAGGCCAAGGCTGGAACTGCAGGTTTTCTTGTACAGCTTGAGAACAGAAGATCAATTAAGGTTGGTGGTTCTACTTCATATTGCTTTTCTCATTCAGTATTGAAAATTCAATATCTGATGCATTAATATGTGAACTTCTCTATTCTGCTTGTGCAGGTTTTCGGGAGGAACACTTATATTGGATTGGGAATAACTTTCTTTGCCGGAGTTTGCTTCTCTCTCTTCTCGCCTGCATTCAACTTGGCCACAAATGACCAGTGGAACACTTTGAAGACAGGAGTTCCTCATTTGGTTGTTTATACTGCGTTTTTCTACTTCTCATTATCTTGCTTTGTCCTTGCCATCATTCTAAACATCACCTTCCTTTACCACCCTGTACTTGGCTCACCCAAAACATCCTTCCAAGCTTATCTGAGAGATTGGAATGGTAGGGGCTGGGCCCTTTTGGCTGGTCTCCTATGTGGATTTGGCAATGGTCTCCAGTTTATGGGAGGTCAAGCTGCAGGATATGCAGCAGCTGATGCAGTTCAGGTTGGTTTCATGACATAAACACATGCATGCATTTAGTGATGATCAACTTGTCTCTTGGTGTGTGATGTTCCATACATGTTTAGTGTTTTTAACATGCCTGCCTATTTACATGGAATTTGGGGCTGTAATGGCAGGCACTTCCACTGGTGAGCACTTTTTGGGGCATCCTTCTGTTTGGAGAGTACCGAAAATCATCCCGAAGAACATATATATTGCTTTTCGGCATGTTGTTTATGTTTATTACGGCTATTGCAGTCCTTATGGCATCATCAGGGCATCGAAAGTGAATATTCAACTGCAAAGCCCTCGTCCGGTGATAACGAAAAGGAACAAGAAGAAAAGATTTGCTAAGTCCTTGTCTGGAAATCGTGTAAAACAAGAATTTATAAATAATTGATGAAATAGTCGAGAGCAGCTGGTTGGTGAAGATGCATAATGGCCTCATGAGTCGTGAAGATTATTGATTCTGCAGGTTCTTCCAAATATCCCAAAGACACCTATTCCCTTTGGTCTTTGGAGAAAGATGCAGTTTATACAAAACAGAAAATATTGGGAAATCATACAAATATTTTAGTGGAATTTGTAAAATATTCTATCAGATTTCTGTTCATTGATGTACTATTGGGAATAATTCCATTTGATATCATTGTTTCCAACGTTCCATGTTCATTTGATCTTTGTTCTCTTTCCTTCGTTTTAACTGAAAGATTTGAACCGAAGATGCTTTTCGCTCTAGTGTACCTCATCCCACACTAGTTGAGCTATAAAGAAACTTCATCTTGTCACCCCAAAATTTTTCTTTTTTGTAGAATAACGTAGATAAATGTATAACATTTTGCCACCCAGATAAAATTTCTTTGCTCCAATACAGACATGAGACCCTTCTTCCGGTCAGCAGCCAGAACTGAGGGTGAAATCATGAATAGCAGCTCTAAAAATCCTGTGGTTGTTGTACACCATCTAACAGTTTATCTTGGCAGATGACCAAGATCCCATCAATGGCGACCTCCCTGTCAAAGCACTTCAAGTCAATACTACAGACCATCACCTTCAGCTCTTTTCCGCATTTTAATAAAGTTACTAACGATTACCTAGTCAATCTTTTCATCTGAAGACCCACAGATCCAATTTGCCTTCCAGACGATTGTAGGCGATAAAAGACGTTCTGTTTTCCAACCTGATACCTTTAACTGCAATATAATGAAAGGATAAGATGTTCAGCGAACCTCTCTAAATCTTTTCACTGCATTAAGCTGTAAAAAATAGTACCTTCTGGATAAATTCTTCATAGTGTTTATCCATCCATGTTTGGCTTTCAGAATGTAGAATTCGGTGTTTATCTATAAGATTTGCCATAGCATTTGCATGTAAAAATGACTGCAAGACATCTGTGGCAGTGGAATCTTTGTGCATAACAATGCAGATGTTTCCTTTCCTCTCCATTAGCAAGTACTTGGCTAAAAAGTCCAGCAGAGAAACAACAAAATAAATAGCAAAGTTCATGGTAGCAATTCAATTGTCGGAAGTACAAAGCAGACATCAACCTTTCTTATAATGAGATCCCGCAAAATGTAATAAGTCCCTCCTGATTAAGATTGTCACTCAAATTGTCAGTCGTGTATGACTAAGAGCCAGCTCAGAGCTGCTTGTGTTGCAAAAGTAGTTACTATCAAGCCACAATATTGAAACCCAAACATCTAAAGATATGCACAGCAATGATCCAATGGTGGACCAGGCTTCCACAACAACTGTTACAAGACTGCTACCAGAAGTTACCACTTTTTAACCTAAGACCTGAAGGAAAATGAAGTTTACAGGGAGAGCAAAGAAACTCACAGTTCCAGGTGATTTAGTGAGGATACTCTGACACCTAAAGATACTCTCACATGTATCAACTCTGTCTTCTTTAAGCTCCATGAAGATGCCCATACAGGTAAAATGTGCTCCATCTTAGAGACTTGCTCAGGGGACAGAACTGGAAACAAATTCAGATGCAGGAATTAAAATCTCACTAAAATAAGATAAAGATGAAGTGTGAAGTGAACTGAAACCAAGCACAGTACTCTTGCAACATCAAACATGGATTGTGACAGAAATTAATGTTACATGAGAGTCAACATACCACTCAAGTTCTCACATTTTTCAATAGCAGAGTGCCAAGGTAGGTTAAACCCAATCTTCCATAGGAAAATATATATTGGACAGTCATTTTGTCAAATCACTTTAAATTATGACCATTGCAAAGATGGGGAATGGGGCAGTTTAGATCATGTACAGCTGCCAATATGCTGTTTTTCAGGAAAGTTCTTTTGATGACCCCAATTATAAATTGTGGCACCGGGAAAAGATAATCAGCCTTAAGGGAACAAGGACCACTAGCTGCATACCTTGGCCAGTTCTCATAAAATGCTGCAAAAGAATTGAGCACCTCTCAGGGTTCAAAGAATTTAATGCAAGGCACCGAACAGCCATGTAGTTTGCTGCACAGGAAAAACACGTAAAGCCCTTAAACTTGTTTAATTAACATATAAAGACTTCATTTCATTTTTTTTTCCTGTTTTGTATAATATGAACTGTTCATTCTATCACAACCAATAAACTGACACAAGTGCCAAAGTAACATTCAAGTTTAGTTAATCCTTGGTAAAGTCAATGGTAATGAACATTGATGGGGGGTACTTACCATACATATGGAACATGGTGAGCGACAAAAATGAAAACCAAATAGCTAGTGGGTGTCCCATAGTAATGCGAGCAAGAAGCATACCCAGCGCCATACCAACCATCGTTGCCACTGTCTCTTGACTTCCTTCCTATCAATGTAAAGAAAAATGTTAATGGACAATACTAGCTAACATACATAAGATGGTCCTCGTCTAAGAGTCAGAACCATTGTGCTGGTACCTTAGCAGATATATCTGCAGCATTACTCTGAAGAGCAAAATGTTGTGTCAAAGCAGCTCTAGTAGCTCCACTTGCAACACCAGCTAAATGAGAAGAAAAATTATAAAACAACAAAAATTGAAAATTATGATCAAGCTCTATACTGCATTTGTTTGACCATTTTCTTCAGATGATAAAGGTACAACTGCCATTGTAAGAATAAAAGGAAGAGGACTACATTAAACCAATTAGTGTCATTCACAAGTCTAAATTTGTGGCACATCACAGCTGATACCGATAAGTTAATCAATGCTCATTTTATAATTATGACATACTTAGCCAACAAATATCAACTATCACATTATACAGATTACTATATTTTCATATTATATTAAATTTATATAGGAGCTTACTGAATGATCTTGATATGCTTCCTAAACAAACAACAAACACAAAAGCTGATGGAAACAAAGGTGAAAGAAGGTCCATCAACATTCCTGCAACCAAATAACAGCATTTCTTGTCATTTTAAGACAAAGGATACAAAGAACAACCTTGAACTACATATAGTATAAGGTTTTGAAGATGATCTCCAAACTTAGAATAAAAACAAAAGAACAAATGGTTAGGTCATACCAAGATCATTCATAAGGTCTGCAACTAAGCGCCACATTTTGGCATTGCTATCCAGATTTGAGCCCTGAAGAATATGAGGTGATTCAAGGCAAGAAATGGTAAAGGAATGATGAACATAGAATTGAAAATTCTTAGAAAAAGCAAAATTCAGTCACGGAACCACTAGCCAAAGGCACCCCCTTATAGTTGCTAAAAAAACATCGAGTACCATGCATACATAAATGGGTACAAAAGTTCCAAAATTTACAATGTAAATTGTGCACAGAATGAGCAGAAGAACAAGAGTATCACACCTGATAGAATGTGAATAAGATACCTCCCAGCATTCCAGTTAGGTCTCTCAAGAACCACTGCATCATTCTCAATGTTGAAAAAAAAAAACATTTACTATGTATTGCAAGCTCGAATACTCAATGAAGCATCCCATGTCCCAACATTGATGCTAGATATAAAAAATTTGTACCTGAAAGGTGGCACCAATTACAGTAGCCGATTTCTCACCAACCCCAATAGCACCCAGTAGAGCCTTAGAGTAAACAAAACATACAAATAATTCATTTAGTAATCACCAGCAGAATTTCATTAAGACTGTATTAGTATATATGATGCTTACTTGGGTAGAAAGCATGGTCCTTATGTAAGTAGAAAGACATTCATTTAGCAATCACCAGCAGAATTTCATTAAGACTGTATTAGTATATATGATGCTTACTTGGGTAGAAAGCATGGTCCTTATGTAAGTAGAAAGACCCTTGAAAAAGGAAATTAAGAAATTAATCATGCTGGATAATTAGTACTATTCATCTACTAATTTAATTATTAGAGCAGTAGAAATCATGAGCTGCATATGTTTGTTTTGTATATTTACCTGGAGTAAATCCCAGACTTGAAAAGGGACATAATCCGGAGTCACACTGCTGGGAAAGCCCTGCATACCAAATTAAAAGAAAAAGAGAGTCCTAATTTTTTTCCTTCTTAAATAACAACAAATAGAAGCTAGAAATTAAAAACAGAAAAAACAAAATACAGGGGATTAAAAAAAAAAGCTTACCTCGGGTACAAATGCTTCAAGAATTCGCCGCCAAACATGGTGGAACCGGCTACCGGATCTTCGAATTTGGAGAAGAAGTTCAATGTTTAATAGAAAGGAAATAAATAAGAAAACAAAAACAAAAACCACCGAAAAAAGAAGCAACCTTTGGATAGAGAGTGAAGGAGACGCGGTTATGGTGGCAGTTCTGGAGAGTTTGGTGGAAGATGAGCCACTCCATTCTTCCACTATAACCTCCGATGTTGATGATGAAACTTCCATGGCCGATTGCTTCAGTGTCTCCGTTGATTCAAAAGGGACGTTGGAGAGAAGCAAAGAATTGACTTTTAATTACCTTAAAAACAGAGAAATCCAAAATTATATTTCTTACGAGGGGAAAAAAAAAAGTAAATAAAAAAGCGCTAGAAGGAGGGTTCGAACCTCCGACCTTGTGGTTAACAGCCACACGCTCTAACCAGCTGAGCTATTCCAGCTATTGATGATGAAACTTCCACGGCCGATTGCTTCAGTGTCTCCGTTGATTCAAAAGAGACGTGGAGAGAAGCAAAGAAATGACTTTTAATTACCTTAAAAACAGAGAAATCCAAAATTATATTTCTTACGAGAGGAAAAAAAAAAGTAAATAAAAAAGCGCTAGAAGGAGGGTTCGAACCTCCGACCTTGTGGTTAACAGCCACACGCTCTAACCAGCTGAGCTATTCCAGCTATTGATAATAAGTTCTAAATAAAACTTATTTATTGTGATGTAAGATCCAAAGCACAGAAATACAGAAGAATGAGCTCTATTAACCAGAGCACAGAGGAGGAAGAGAGTTTGTCTTTAGATCATAGAATGTGGAGAAAAGCTCTCACTTTGCTTCCACACAGACCCTTTTCATCAACCCCTGAAATCCCAACCCTCTACTCCTTCCTCCAGCCCTCAGTCTTTGCCCTTAAGAGGGACCTACCACCCTCCCAGAAATCTCACAGTGACCTCCCAACCCCACCTCCCAAAACCCTAGCCCCAGACCACATAACCACCCTAGAGACCACCCTCCACAAGTCCCTTATAACCCACAACACTGATGAGGCATGGAAGTCCTTCAAGACTCTCACAGGCAGCTCTGCCTTCCCGAGTAAGTCCCTCACTAATTCTCTCATCACCCATTTGTCCTCACTCGGGGACATTCACAACCTCAAGAGGGCTTTTGCTACGGTAGTTTATGTCGTGGAGAAAAACCCAGGATTCTTAGATTTTGAAACTGTTGGGACTTTGTTGGTTGCTATGAAATGTGCCAATACTGCTGCACCTGCTTTTGCTTTGATTAAAAGTGTGTTCAAGAACAGGTTTTTCTTGCCATTTAGTGTATGGGGCAATGTTCTCGTTGAAATTAGTAGGAAAAATGGTAACTTTGTTGCGTTTTTACGGGTTTTTGAAGAGAATTGTAGGATTGCCTTGGATGAGAAGTTGGAGTTCATGAAACCGGATTTGGCTGCTTGTAATGCAGCGTTGGAGGGGTGTTGTCGCGAACTTGAATCGGTGAGTGATGCCGAAGAAGTTGTTGAAACAATGGCGGTTTTGGGTGTTCGGCCTGATGAATCGAGTTTTGGTTTTCTTGCTTATTTGTATGCATTGAAGGGTCTTGAGGAAAAGATAACTGAGCTAGAGGGATTGATGGGTGGGTTTGGTTTTTCAAATAAAAGGGTGTTTCAGAGTAATTTGATTAATGGCTATGTTAAGTCAGGCAAATTAGAATCTGTTTCAGCAACTATTCTTCGTATTCTCAGAGAAGGAGATGGAGAATGTTTGAATCTGGGTGAAGCAACTTATTGTGAAGTTGTTAAAGGATATCTTATGAATGCAAGTGTGAAAGAGTTGGCGACTTTGATCATTGAAGCTCAAAAGTTAGAGTCTTCAACAGTCATGGTTGATAGATCAGTCGGGTATGGTATTGTTAATGCTTGCGTTCATATTGGATTATCAGATAAGGCACACAGCATTCTTGATGAAATGAATGCTCAGGGAGGTTCCTTAGGGCTTGGTGTGTATGTGCCAATTTTGAAGGCTTATTGCAAAGAGCATAGAACTGCTGAAGCCACTCAACTGGTCATGGATGTTAGTAATTCTGGGCTTCAGTTAGATATGGGGACATATGATGCTCTAATAGAATCATCCATGTCAAGTCAAGATTTTCAATCGGCCTTTTCTTTGTATAGGGACATGAGGGAAACCAGAATATCTGACTTAAAGGGGAGTTACCTAACCATAATGACAGGTTTAATGGAGAATCATAGACCAGAGTTAATGGCTGCCTTCTTAGATGAGGTTGTTGAGGATCCTCGAATTGAAGTGGGTACCCATGACTGGAATTCCATTATTCATGCCTTTTGTAAAGCTGGGCGTCTAGAAGATGCGAGGAGGACTTTTAGAAGGATGATATTCTTGCAGCATAAGCCTAATGAACAGACATATTTATCGTTAATTAGTGGGTATGTTTCTGTGGAGAAATATTTCTGTGTTCTGATGCTATGGCATGAGGTGAAGAGAAATGTTTCAGTTGATGGAGAAAAGGGGATTAAATTTGACCACAACATGGTTGATGCATTCCTATATGCTCTTGTTAAGGGAGGCTTTTTTGATGCGGTAATGCAAGTTGTTGAGAAATCTCTAGAGATGAAAGTCTTTGTGGATAAGTGGAGGTACAAACAGGCATTCATGGAAACCCATAAGAAGCTTAAAGTGTCAAAGTTGAGAAAGAGGAATTTCAGGAAAATGGAAGCACTTGTTGCTTTCAAGAATTGGGCTGGTCTGAATGCATGAATTTAGGCGCTGCTGGGAGCAAAGTTTGTCAATTTGAGATTCTGCTCCCAGCACTAATTACGTTTCAATAATTCAAAATGGCAATGAGGTGGAGGTGTATGGCCTGTAGGATAAAGTCAAGCACATGAAATTCACATTGCTGGAGGCTTTTGTTGCAGAGAGTGTTTGCTGGCAACTTTCAGATGCATGTGATAAAGAAGATCGTTTGGAATGTGAAAGCTCTTATTACTTTATAGGGGTGACGTGAACCATAAGTCTAACGATCATATTTACTTGGAAGTGTTGTATAATTGTCGCAAATCACAAGAGTTCCAAAGTTTGACAATCGCAAGTTGAGCACAGTGAATAGAAATATGGGGCCTATAACCAGGTTCTGTATCCTGGCTACAAAAAAAGTAGTTGGTATTGGGGAAGATTAACTTGAGAATTCACTGAGCTCTAGCTTTTCTTATTTGTCAGTTGGGTTTCTCATGGGTTGTTGAATAAAGAGCCATCAACCCTCATCATAGTTTGCAGGTCGTGACTGATGCAGTGGAATGAAGAACTGCCTTGGTTTCCAAGTACATACAATGTCACCATTTCGCCCCAAAATCATTTAGATATCTGTAAATTTTAATCAATAATGGCTGAATATTAATACAAAGTAATCTGATGGTAAGCAATCAATGAACAGTTTAAATTCATTCTTGCTTTGATTAGTTGCAGTTTGATCATTTGCATCCTATGATATTGAACTTGTACTTTGAGCTGGGACTTGGGCCGCTCCTAACCTTCAGGTAGCAAGTGTAAAAGGTTGTTAAATCTAAAGCCATCATCCTTGGTGGGGCTAACATACCAGAAATTAACAATTAATTGTGAAACAGAAACCTGTTTCACACTCAAGCACCTTCTCTTTTACTATTCTGGAGTTGATTTCTCTCCTTTAAATCCTTTTGAAAATGCATATTGCTTTATAGCTAGAACCCACATAAAACATGGGCTCTGCTTTTTAGGAAGAAAAATTAGGAAGGATGTTGAAAGTTAAGTCACCTCCACCGAAAAGAACACTCCCCTTTGTGTTCCTTTGCAATAACACTTACTCATATTGTCATGTGAAAGTTGAAACTCTTCTTGCATTACTGTTGTTCTTCAGTTCTTCATTTCAAAAATCTCCAAGCTACTTCTGAACCCTCACCCATGCCATCTGCATCAGAAACCTTGCTTCTGATCACCATTTTTCTCTTGCTTCCTCTCCACGCCGTCTCATCCACCATCCATGCAGGCCATGCCATCCCTATCAACGGCCTCTGTCGTGACACATGCGGCACAATCCCAGTAAAGTTCCCATTTGGCACTGGATTTGGCTGTGGCCACCCTGACTTTGTTAGATACATCAAATGCAGCTCAGGAACACTTCAATTCTCTACCGGAACTGGTATCTACACCATTTCCTCTATAGACTACAACAGTAGCACCATCGTTGTCACAGATCCGCTTATGTCAACATGCTCTTCTATGCAAAATTCAGGTGGCTTCAGCTTAGACAGGGCCAGTCCTTTCACTATAAGAGAGGAGAACATCTTTGTTCTACTTGGCTGCTCAACAACATCCCCTGTGTTTGATCCCAATGAAGATTTGTGCGACACCGGGTCGGGCTCCCGGGTGTGCAGAGGGTTGTACTCCTGCAAGGGGGTGGCTGGCATTGGGTTGCAACAGAATGCACCAATTTCCACTTGTTGTGTTTATGACTCTCAAGTTGGGGTTGGCTCAGGTTATGCATTGGTTCTCCCAAAGCTCCAATGCTCTTCCTACACATCAATTTATGAGTTTGGGGATGAAGGGGATCCAATGAAATGGAAATTTGGAATTTCTCTGCAATATAATGATTCTTATTACACCAATGCCTGCAAGGATTGTGAGGCAAGTGAGGGCTTGTGTGGCTTTTCTGGTTTGGACCAGTCATTCGCTTGTATTTGCCAGAATGGGGTTAACACCACCAGAAGTTGCTTTGAGCAAGGTTAGTGATTAATAGCTGCCATTATATAAGAAATTTATTTCAATTAATTATCTCTGATATATGGTTTTGATATGATTAGGGTATGCTTTGAGTTGGGCAGTGGAACTAGAAGTTCAAATTAAAACCATTATTGGAGGTACGTCGGCTAGCAACTTGCCAGTGCCTTTTTTGACTTTCTTTACTTGATGTTCATCATCTTCTCACAAAAAGTACATTACTTTGAATTATTTTTTTTGGTTGTAGGACTTTTGGTCTCGTGGATGTTACTATTGACAAGGAGCAGATAGCTAGCGTTGCTTCAAACTTTTTTGATGCACAAATTTTGCAAAAGAAGTGCTTCAAAGAGATCTAAGCGAGTGGTGTTTTTGGCTATGTAATTTTTTTTATTTTAGTTAATGAAATGCAAATTTCCAATTCAAATTAATGATGTCTATTTTTTTTCTCTATTAAAAAAAAGAATATCAAATTAAAAACATACTAATTAACTAATGAGATCTCTTTAGAGAAGCTTCCAGCAGCTAGATCCTATATTTAAACATCGGCAATGGTAACCTCAACCTCGACGCCGGCTTCCATCTCTATATTGGTAACATGCTTGACCACCTCCGGGGTGCTGAAGAGGTCCATCACTCTTTTATGATCTCGCATCTCAAACCTATCCCAAGTGTTGGTTCCTGTATACACATATATGCACCCACAACTTATTCATAAATATTCATCTTCAACAGAAAAGAAAATGAACGCTATAATATTGACATTTTATGTCTATCTCTCCCATCAAATGACGAGAAGTGATATAAGACAATCAAGTTTTTCTCCTTAAAAATAATGTAATTGATAAGATTTAAAACGTACCTTCTCCGCAGGGGGACTTCCTAGTAGTGATATGAAGAACCTTAGTAGGCATGCGGACTGGACCGTTAATTCTAAGTTTCTTTTCCTTAGCGCTCTTTATCAGAGAGCCACACACTAATTAACATTACAGCAAAAAGAAAGAAAAAAACCCAAATTAACAGCAATATTAATTATCATACAAAATTAAATCAAAATACATAACTAATTAGATAATATAAATGTCGTGAGATTAAACCTTACCTTTCTCGAGGATTTTGACATTCTTGGAGGAGAGTGTTATTCTAATCTTTCGAAGAATATGCTCTTGGGGTTCCTCCAAACCAAGCTTTGCAGGCTTCATCATGGGACCTGCGTGCCTCACGGGTGGTGGTGCCACTGTCGCCATTGCCATATATTTATATTATTTCTTCTTTTAATGTTACTCTGCTGCATGCGATGGATTTATTAGGGAACACATATACAAAAAGAGCATGAACAAGAGATTTATATGTGTTGAAAATACCCACCTAGCAGCTTCAAACTCGTTTGACTTCAACTTTCGCAAGAACGAGACACATTTGTGACTTGTGACTTACATGTATGTGTTTTAGGGTTTTGCAAAACTCTAGGATTTTCTTTCTTTCTTTGCTTCAGGCCCAAGGAAAAAAGCTTCTGAAACCCCATGAGCCCATTTCAGCGCTGAAGGAAAAGCAAGTAAACGGTGTCGTTAGACCACATCATTATCACTTAGCTTGCGAAATTCTATAGTGACGCCTTATCTAAAGCCAATAGATGAGGCAATATCTCTTAACTGTTGGATTAAACTAACCAATTTGATCCAACGACTAAGATATATGGCCTCATCTAAGGACCTTATAAGGCTCTCACTATAGAATGACTAGCTTAGCTCCACTGCTCATCTCCAATAGGCAAGAATTCTATGAGACCCTATTTATTAACCATTGGATTAAATTGGTTAGCCGTTGGATTAAATTGGTTAACATGATTTAATGATTAAGAGATAGGACCTCCCCTCACTATAAAATTACTACTCCAATGAGAGCAGGCCAAACAGATAATTTGGGTTTTAGCCCAAGATCAGGCCAAATTTGGCCTGACATTCCAATCTGGGCAAAATGATGGAGCCCACAAAGAAAACTGGAAGCAAGCCCGCGTTAGGAGAGAACTGAACTGTTTGGTTTGTTTTTTCGTGTGTAAGTCTGAAAAATATGAAATATCATCGAAATTTGTCAAAATAACGAACATCAGCAACGTTTATAAATATTAAAGAAAACATAATTAAGGCATCATCCCATGTTTTTTTTTTCAATGTTTAGAAACGTTACCTTTCGGGTTCAGATACATGGGGTCCCAGGTTTCTGTATGACTGTTGCGGTTGCCACTCTGTCGCTTAACTGAAACGCGTATGACTGCGGTGCAGATGGGAAAGTTACATACAAGGTTAGATGTGGGTGGGGTGGTGTGTGTTCCCCGCCTTGGGTTTTCAGGGGGGTTATGTTTACTATGGCGGTCCGGTTTACAAGTTGATCTGTTATCCTCATCTCCAGGACACATCGATGTTCGAATTACTTTGTCCGACTCTGGGTCTATTAGGGTAACTGGATTTTATGGTCATCCTGATTATACCCAGCGCCATCACTCATGGGAATTGCTGCGGCGTTTGAGTAGGGTGGGTTCTGGGCCCTGGCTCTGTTGCGGAGATTTTAATGAGATAATGGAACACCATGAGAAGAGTGGGGATCGTCTCAGACGTGATACGCTTGTGGAGGATTTTAAACAGGCTATTTCAGATTGTGGTTTATTTCAGTTTGATTTCACAGGTTATAAATTTACGTGGAGTAATAAACGGAAGGATGCAGCTAATGTGCAAGCACGTTTGGATAGAGGCTTTGGAAATTTATCACTACTGCAACAATGGGGAAATTTCACCTCTCACCATTTAGTTGCCTACTCTTCTGATCACCAACCAATCCTTGTTGCATATGAAAATCCACAGGTTGGCACTCTCAGACTTCCTAGAGGTTGTCGTCGTTTTCAGTTTGAGGAGGCATGGACTACGGAAGATGAATGTATTGAGGTTGTTCGTCACTCTTGGAAAAATGCGGTTTCACCCATTCACAACATTGCTAACTGTGCAAACAGCTTGATGCGATGGAGTGCCCGAAAGTTTCGTCAAGTACCACATAAAATTAAGGAGTTGCGGGTTAGGCTGGGAAATCTCCAATCTGAACCACCGTCGACACAGACTCTACAATCCCAGATACTGGTTGAGACGGCGCTTGATAAGTGTCTCGAACAGGAAGAAATTTACTGGCAACAACGATTGCGGGTGAATTGGCTTCGTCATGGGGACCGTAACACGTCTTTTTTTCATAAGCATGCTACAAACCATAAGAAGACAAATGCACTTGTTGGGATATTGGATAACCAAAATCGGTGGCAGAAGGAGTATGATCAAATGGGTGGAGTCTTTGTTGAGTTTTATACCAACCTTTTAAAGACAAATGGTGTCGTCCCTGATGGGGAAATTTTCTCTGCTGTTGAGACGCGTGTGTCCTCCCGCTCCTATCAAAGTCTGCTTCTCCCTTATTCAATATCTGAAATCGAAGTAGCTCTTAAATCTATTGGTCCGTCGAAAGCTCCGGGTCCGGACGGGATGCCTACTCTTTTTTATCAACGATATTGGGACATTGTGGGTCAGGATGTTAGTGCATTGTGTTTGAAGGTGTTAAATGGTAGTGATGGTGTCAATGATTTTAACCATACTTTGGTGGCTCTAATCCCAAAGGTTTGTTCTCCTACTCGAGTCTCAGAGTACCGTCCTATCAGTTTATGCAATGTCATCTATAAGCTTATCTCTAAAACCCTTGCTAATAGACTTAAAAGGGTTTTACCTTATGTTATCTCTGAGTTCCAAAGTGCGTTTATTCCAAGACGAATGATCCTTGATAATGTCCTAGCTGCTTTTGAAACTATCCACTGTCTGAAGAGACGGGGAAAAACAGGTAAAAAGAAATTGATTCTGAAGCTAGATATGGCCAAGGCATATGACCGCGTTGAATGGCTTTTTTTGGAAAAGATGATGCAAACTATGGGTTTCCCACATCGGTTTATCAATTTAATTATGGGCTGTGTGACTACTGTCTCTTATTCGTTATTAATCCAGGGGCGCCCTTTTGGGCGTATTATTCCATCTCGTGGGTTACGGCAAGGTGATCCAATTTCACCGTATCTTTTTCTCATTGTGGCTGAAGGTTTTTCTGCTTTACTTCAACAGGCGGAGCGTGATTCTATGCTACATGGTGTCTCTATTGCCCCTACTGCTCCTTCCATTAATCATCTATTTTTCGCCGATGACAGTCTATTATTTTGTAATGCTGTGACAGATGAGGCTCTAGAGTTGAAGCGTATTTTTGGTCTGTATGAGGTGGCTTCTGGACAGAAGATCAATCTCGAGAAGTCTGCCCTATGTTTTAGTCCGTCCACCCCACTGGTGTCACAGGAAGTTATTTGTGATTTGCTATCTGTGCCTATTGTTCTGTGTCATGAACGTTACTTGGGCCTTCCTACCATCGTCGGAAAAGATAAGAAGAAGTTATTTCGTACTGTTAAGGATCGTGTCTGGAATAAGGTGAATGGTTGGCAAGGCAAGCTTCTGTCCAAGGCTGGAAAAGAAGTACTTATTAAAGCAGTGTGTCAGGCAATTCCATCGTACTCTATGAGTGTGTTCCGGTTGCCTGTCGGCCTTTGTTGTGAAATTGAAGGCATTATTGCTCAATATTGGTGGTCTAAAAGTGACGGTAAAGGTATTCACTGGAAGAATTGGAAGTTCATGTGTCAACACAAATCTGACGGGGGGCTTGGCTTCAGAGAATTGATCAGCTTTAATCAAGCACTACTTTGCAAACAAGGTTGGCGTTTGCTGGAGTTTCCAAACTCTTTGATTGCGCGTATGCTCAAGGCTCGCTATTTTCCAAACTCTGATTTTCTCGATGCATTGGATGGTTCGTAACCATCGTTTACTTGGCAATCCTTACTTTGGGGCCGTGATTTGCTTCGGTTGGGGCTTAGGTGGCGAATTGGCGATGGCCGCTTGGTTAATATCTATGGTGATCCTTGGGTGCCTCATGAAAGATTTTTCACTGTTCAATCTGTCCAATCACTTCCTCCTGATTCCCGAGTTAGTGCTCTTATCACCGCAAGCGGTCGGTGGGATGTGGCGAAGATCTATGATACCTTCTCATTTCCAGAAGCTGAAACTATTCTCTCTGTCCCTTTAATGGGTGATACACTGGATCGGAGAATTTGGCATTTTGCTGCGAATGGGAGATATTCTGTTAAAAGTGGTTATTGGGCAGCGCTGGAGTTTAAGAGGTTGGAGGAGCTGTCGGCTGGTAGCATCGCTGGCCTTTCTTCTTCCTCTTTGAAGCTCTGGAAACATCTGTGGAAGCTGAAAATGCCAAAAAAAATCCTTCACTTTTTATGGCGGCTGGCACAAAATATCCTCCCTTCAAAGGAAGTGTTGTTTCGGCGCCATATTACACAGGAGGCGGTATGTTTTCGCTGTAATGCTGTGTATGAATCTGCGTTGCATGCTGTGGTGGGTTGCACTATTTGTATACCAGTGTGGGAGGCTTTAGATTTTCCTCGTGCATTTTTGCAACTCAATCTGACTGAAGCTAGAAATTGGTTAACTGCTGCATGGGCTCTTATTCCTCCTGATAAGCAGTCCCTTTTTGCGATCACAGTGTGGTTGCTGTGGAATGAAAGGAATGGGGTGTTGTATGGCTCCCAGCCAACACCTCCCAGAGTTTTGGTTCAACGTGCGAAGGACTATGATGATGAAGTTAAAAGATCTCTTGTTGTCAATCATAGGAGTTTATCCTCGCCAGTTCGTGATGTTAAGTGGTACCCTCCTGTTGCGGGTTGTTTTAAGCTAAATGTGGATGGGGCTGCTGATTTGGAGACAGGAGCTAGGGGAGCTGGTGCAATTGTTCGTGACTCTCAAGGAAATTTGGTTGGGGCTATGGCTATGCGCGCTCCCAGTATGTTATCCATCCTTGCTGCGGAGCTATATGCTCTTAAGACTGGTATATCTTTTGCTTTGGATGCGTCCTTTGTGCCTCTTGTGATTGAGTCTGATTCTCTGTTGGCGGTCAATATGATTAATGATGATGAGGAGTGTCTTGCTGCTGAAGGGGCTTTGGTGGACGGGGTGCGACGTATTCTTGCTACTCATGAAATTTATTCTGTTCGGCATATTCCTCGTAGTGCGAATGGGGCTGCCCATCGTATTGCTCGGTTCAGTCTCCGTGATCAAAACCTTTCTTGTTGGATGGA